ATAATTATTTATCAGCCTGAAAAGCTTCCTTTATGGTTTGTATCATTGAAATGTTGGCCTAGGGAAGAGTTTTTACTAATGAAAACGGAATCACTAACGGAAATGGAAAATGCATGAAATCACATTGTATGCAGCTGCTATTTAAGATATTGTATTGACAACAACTGATTGAACTCTAGCAAAAAAGCTAATCTTTGTCAGTTCAAATCCTACAACTGGATCTGCCACTGTGGACTACCTCACCATGCAGATTCCTCTGGTAGGATCAGGATCAGGCGCAGGTGTTAATATTGGGTCTCATCCTGTTCCCGCTGAAGTCGGTGGGAGTTTTGACAGTGTTATGTTCCATGGCCCTGACTCTGCAAGCTCCTCTGAATGGGCGGACTTCCACTGACGTGAACAGGGCTATGCACGGGTAGAGCAAGCCTCCTCCACTAAGCAGCTTGCAGGATTAGGGCCCATAGTATCCTCTAAAAATAAAAATCAAGATGGCAGCACTAACCCTTTTGCTTTCAAAATCTGCAATTAATTTTTTAGAAATAGTTTAAAACGGTTTTAAAGATTGTTTTTTTTTAAGGAAAGAACTGTGTGTTCCAGGGCAGCGATGAAACTGATCAAATATAATCTGTTAAATACTTCATAATACCGATCAGATTCTGCCACCATTTACCCCAGTGCAACATCATTGTGTCTTAGGGTTGCCTGGGTGTCACCGAGGGGAGACAAATGGACACACTTTTTTCTGTGTGAGGGCTCACTCCTGTAATCCGACCTCTTGCCAGGTCCAATCCACCTGCACAGAGTCGCAGCGAAGCCAGTGGGGCTCCGGGAGGGTATGAGGGTTGGCCCATGTGGGTATGATTGGAGGGTCAGGGCCAATACTTTTATAATGCATAAGTCCTGACCCTGCAAACACACACTTTGCTCATATGAGTACTCCTGTGGTATTCAATGGTATTACTCATGTAAGGAAAGTTATGCACATGCATAAATACTTGCAGGGCTAGGGTGACCAGATGTCCTGATTTTATAGGGACAGTCCTGATTTTTGGCACTTTTTCTTATATAGGCTCCTATTACCCCCCTATTACTTGTGTTGTGTAACCTCAGCACACTATTTTATTTCTGTTATTATCAGGGCAGAAAATAAACCACATTGCCTACCAAATTTCCTTAAATATTGCCGATAGACATGGAAGAAGCAAACCTCAAAACAAACAATTAGCATTAAAGAAGGATAAAGCTTAGCTTAAAGGACGTTTCAAGGAACCTGCCTGTTAACAGCTCTTCTCAAAAAAGGTATGAAATTTTCACTTTTAAAATTCTAGTCAAATCAAAACAACAGCAGATTGAGACCACACACACACACACACACACAAAAACCTGTTATCACTGCTTTCCAGCACATACAATTAACACTTGTGATCTTATGTGCAACTTTCACTAGAAGTTTATTTGTCTTATTTTAAAAGATAAGCAGATGGTTCACACAATTGTCCACAATAAATTACAACTGTTGGAAAGACAGTTACCTTTTGAGAGCAACAATGAATCTGGGCTGCAGATGGGCTTAGAGATGACCCTTCCAATTTTTAATAATCTCCATAATTTATGTGCAAGTAAAGAAATGAAAAGATACCTAATGTGCCTTCTTGGCGAAGTACAAATCACTTTTATTTACTCAGGCAATACTTCATGGTCCAGTTAACTTCTTAATTAAAGGCAGCAAGATGCTCATGTTGCATGCAAGTGGCATGGAAAATACTGTTTAGTGTACAATATGTTCAGCAGGGAGTTGAAGATGCTCTGCTCACTTCTGGAGAACCTGGGGCATCTATCATTTCCCTTTAAAACAAGGCTAAAGGATGCACCCATCACTGCAGCAAAATTAGTACTCGTTTCTCAAAATTACTACTAGAACAGCCTCAGCGTTCACGAAACTGCCCATGATGCTCTGATGCCCAGTAATATACTGACAGTATTTCATAAAGGCGATCCCACAAACATGTCTCCCTTTGATCATGATAAATCACATGCATCAGCGCTACGTGTAGACTATGGACTAGGCTCGGGTGCAATTTCAGTGGCAGGACCTCAATTGTGGGACACCTTTCCAGAGGCGATCAGATTGAACTCAACCACTCAGCACAAAGGGTGAGGGGCAACAGGTAGCCAGTTACAGCTCCCTTATTCTGAAACCACCACAGCTGCTTCAGCTTCAGGGTAAATTAGAGCAGCCAAAGGGTTCCTGTACACCTTGTGGGATTTTCCTTCTTCCTAGCCCATGGTTTTTCCCCAAGAGGGGGCAATCTGGCCCCACAGTGAAAATTAAACGTATCTTTTAATGGAGAACTTCTGCTATCTTTAGGCCTGAGGCTCTGATTTCTAAGGAAAATGTAGATGCTTTTAATCATGATCTATGATGGAATTAAAGATGCATCTGAGAAGGAAAGGAGTGGCTGACGAATAACAGAATCATAGAATATCAGGGTTGGAAGGGACCTCAGGAGGTCATCTAGTCCATCCCCCTGCTCAAAGCATGAACTGAGGCTACCATCAGTTATCGAGATGCATTCCTAAGACATTTCCACAGGGATTACCCCGTTCTATCCAGAGAGAGAGAGAGAGAGAGAGAGAGAGAATTCATAAAGATAGGGAGTACTCTATGATTCACCCATGTGGTCAAATGGAGAACTGGCACAACTTCACTGAGATCATGGGAGTGTAACTACCCTCATCACGAGTCTGGCCCCATGATCTCTACTACATACAGTTAACACTGAATTGATTGTGTAACTATGCTACTAGATGAAATTACACTGAAATATCATTCTCTATCTTTTGCTGTACTTCATCTACTATAAATAACCATAATTTGCAAGTCTGTTGAGCAATAAATAAAACCATTAGCTAAGCTAGCAGTCTGCACTCTTAGGTTGTTTACTAAAACACATGAAAATATTATACATTAACATAGTCTTGGCATGTTTTATTATTTACCACTATTTAAAGTTCTTGTCTCTTACACTGTGCATTTTTAAAACCACATTTTGCACTAGCGAAAATCCTAAGTAACTCAATGGTAATGGAATTATTATTGATTTTCAGAGATGCAACTGAGAACTGAGTTTAGCACTTAGCTTTTACTATATCCCTCAAGCTCAGTAATTGGTAATACATTTCATTTTGCAAGAATGCTCTGGTTAGAGCAGAAACAAGCTACTGCCAGTATATGGAAGATTATAGTTCTGGTAATTTAGAAGTACTTGCATCTATTCCAAAAGGATCACCTTATGCAGCAGTCTCACTTGGATATGGTGAATCAAATTCAGAACCCTGGCATAAGAAAGCACAATGTCACTGAAACCAGAGTTGCACCTGCTGACCACCAGGTCTGAATGTGGTCTGACCGTTGGAAAGATCTGGATAATTTTTGCGCTGGCTACCCCCCATGCAACTCCACTGGGAAGTCAGTGGAGCTGTTCATGTGGTAAAATTCCATACAGATGGTGAGGCTGATCCACCGCTCATTGAAGTCAGTGGAAAGACGCTCATAGATATCACTGGGTTTTTGATCAGGCCCTTTGGATTCACAGCTAAAGTCTTCTCAGAACAACAGCGATATAATGGAAGGAGGGAAAAGTCCTCTATGGAAGTAACATTCCCACAGGATTTGTATTACCTCCCGTTTGGCCTTCATAAAACCACCAATCATAGCATGCAGTCTGGTATTATAGCTTCAACTAGCATGAGAAGATATCTTTTGTCCCTCCACCATACTGATATGTAGATTAAGATGATGAGGACTAAAGAATAAACTTCCCAGTAGCAATAAATGCAGCTTAATATTTGATTTTAAGAAAACAAAGAGCATTTCCAAAATCTAACAAAATAAATGTATTTATATGATGCATTTCTTCATGTACTCCATGCTTAGTGGATGAATTTACACGTATAGGGTTCTAAGGCTCTCCTTTAAATCCCACATGGAAACATTTATAGATATCGATATTTTTTCATTCGCTTCTCTTCCTAAACTAGAATGATTGCACAAATCAATCAACGGCCATTCTAAAGGGGTTACAACCTTCAGTAATTACATCGAATATTGTATTGGATGTTGCAATGATTACTCCAAAAAGTTCCAATTGCTACAAGACCACTGAAATGTAGAGGTAAAGTGATGTTAATATTTAATTAGCTATCTGCCACTGTCATCAAGTGGGAAGTTGCTATCCAATTCAAATTAACATTTCTGAACAGGAAACAGGATGTATGATGCCTTCCATGAAGTATCAATAGGAAACAGAAGCTGCATATAACCTATTCAGTCTTTCAAAGCTGCTTATGCCAAACAAAGTTGCATGAGGATGGTCAGAAAGAGCTGACAGTAAATTAAATTTTACCATAAAGATGCTGCTATTTTAATCACTCTTGAGTTCCTCCTGATTTAGACTTTTATTAATTTTCCCACATTTGCTGTTAGTTTTAGCTGCATGTAATTACAAAAATTGCTGAGTCCTCAGCACCTTGCAGAATTGAGCACACGGTAAGAAAGAGTTTACGGTGATTAATCATGGCTGAATCAGACCCATATGTATTGATCACACATCTATGGTCTCAGGCAGTATTGATAAACTGCAGGGTGGATTTCACAACTATCTGCCATCTCTCTACCCATGAAAAGTGAGGAATTCTGCAATGAGGACTTCTTATTAATACGTGTCCTACATCAAAAGGAGGAGAAAAGCCTATCTGAAATCTTAGATGTCCTGGAAGCATTTTATCTGCTCTTCAAACAACACTGCCTTCTCCTCATGCAAAAATACATGTAACTACACAACAAACACGCTACTGGCTCATTCCCCAAATTAGCCTTGCATAGTGTAGCCAAGCTAATATATAGATGTGAAGTGGCAGGGTGCCATTGTTACGGATATATTTTCTAGTGTTTAGGGTACAGAAATGTGATCATTCTTTTGCTTTTCTGGATAACTTACTGGTCTGGCCCGGATTTCTTTGGCGTAGAGAGGTTTCAAGAATTCTGAATCTCCTTCTAGCTTCAGACCTTTCTCTGTGATTCTCAGGTTCCCCATTCCATCCTGAAATACACACACACGCACACACAAAAAAAACCCTATTAGCTATGATTTCTAAATACCCGAGTGAGGCTGTCAAAAACGGAAACAAAAGTTATTGTTGTTGTTTTTTCCAGTGCAGAAGAACATGTAAAACACTGGGAGGCATTGCATAATGCAATTACTTGTATTATCCTTTTAGCTCCATTTCTGTGAGAAAATTCTATTCCAAGCAATCTGCAATGCCCCCTGGTAAACCATTTACACAGATGAAAGATGCCCTTTTAGGCTAGTCATCTCTGCTCAGAGACAGAGAGATGATAAGGTGACATTCTGTGTTAACATGAAACTGCTCACTGTAATGTGTCCGTATGTTGATATTACCTTTCCACTCATGATGAGTTCACATATAGAACAAAAAGACATTAATTCTTCAGTTATCAGACTAGTAAAAATGAGGTTTAACTTTATAAAAACCAATTTCAAATTGCAGTAGTTGTAGTTATGTGCTTATGTTACTTCTGTCACGGCACTGTAATTAAGTGCACTGTGTAACTTAATCTCTCTCTTTTGTTTTATATATGGTTCAGCAAAGACAATGCAATTCTTTGGCTCTTCCCTGAAATTATAAACAATAATGAGAAAGAAAGCTATTTAAAAAGTTATGGAAAGTACTTTACCAGTGTCAAATTTTGTATGAGTTTTTCTCATACCTTTTATATCATACGACAGGAATAGAGATGCATCAAAAAAAAGCAGAAGAGGCTTACATTAACAATATTTCACCTTTACCTTTTGAAAGTCATGTCATTTGTTCAGAGAGGTGTTCTAGTTTAGTTTAAGATGTAATTACCTGAAAAAAGTATGTGTGGGTGAGGGAGTTCGAATTGCAAAGATAAGTGTATCAGCTAAGAAAATATACAAACGCTGAATGTCATTTTCAATATTCAGAACAATACTCAACTTAGCAAGTAGCTGCTTTGGTTGCTGAGATAAAGCATATGGCTGAGATTTGCAATGTTGCCTAAGAGATTTGAATGATTAATTCCTTTTTAAAAGCAATGGAAATTGCTGTCCAAATCTCCTAAGTGGCTTTGAAAATCTTAACTTAGGAGATCTAGAAAGTTTGCAATATCTGACCATTGGTTAGCCCCCAGGTGTTTAAGCCAATTGGGAACTGGCAGTTTCCTGGGGTAGATAAAAGGTGGTAATGGTGGGGAATTTCGGGGGTTGCTCTACTGCTAGAAAGAAGAGTTTCTGGCTACTGGGAGGTGTTGCCAGGTGAAGACTCTTGCCTGGCATGTATTCTCCACTGATCCCACCTCTATCTGGTGCTGGTTCTGCCTCCTCCCTGAGATGAGGCACAACAGAGGGATGGTTTCGGTTCCTTCCACCTGGCTGGGACCAGTAGGGTGATATACAGCCCAGAGTGCTACTGAATTGGGAGAGGCAATTTTTTTGCAGGTGGATCTCACCTCTGTTTTTGCAAACCTGGCCCTGGGTCTTGCAAGAGATAATAAGACAAATCAAATTCCTTCCATAGGGAAAAAATGCAAATAATTTGAACCTCTATTTCAACATATTCAGATTTGTTATTTGATCTATGGGAGGGCCTTGCCTTTTCCACTAACCATCACAAAATCCCACTGATCAGGCATTAAACTACTGAAGTAATGCACATTCCACCCTCTGCCCATTCAGATTTGATCTTCATAGCTATCAGTCCTCATCTTCTCTCCAGCATAGCATTGTAATGCGCTCCCAGGCTCCAGGCCCACTCACATGATAGCTGCACACCGTCCCCAAAGCTCCTTGTGCTTAGAGGTGAAAAATCTTTTTGACAAATGGTGTGAATTATTGGCTGCAGGCCTCCAGCAGATGACTGCAAATAGTCTATTTCCTTTAGAAATTGTTTAGTTGTGTGTTTCCAAGATGTAATGAAATGTCTGACAAACTATAATAGCAAACAAAATATATGTCAAAATTCTGTATGAGTTTTTCTTATGGCTTTTATACAATGAGACAGGTATACAGATGCATCAGAACACAGCAGAAATGGCCCAAGTTAAAAACATTTCATCTTCGCTTGGGAGAGAAAGTCAAATCTTTTATTGAGACAGGCTGTTTAGGCTCATTTAAGCTATAATTACTTGAAGAAAAAAGATGTGTGTGGGGGGATTGTAAATATAAATGTATAATCAAATACCACATTTAAATGCAAAATGCCATTTTGAACATTCAGAACGATTCTCAAGTTTGCAAAGCGCAAGGCAGGTAGGTTTACTTTGCTGAAGCAAAGTTCTGAAGGCTATACAGTCCCCAGGTCCTCAGCTGTTCTAGCTCCATTGAAGTCCACAGGCTATGACAATTTACGCCAGCAGAGGCTCTGTCTCCAGATGTTTAATTTAAGATCTGGTGTGTGTGTGTTCACACATGTACTCCAATGGAAGGGAAGGTTTCTTTTCGTGTCCAGGTGAGTGCTCTCATTGGGAATGAGTTTCCAATCGATTTCACCTCCATCTCATGTTGTTGTTTTTCCCTACGCAAGGCAGTAACAGCAAAGAGATGGTGGCATTTCACTGGGCTTTCAGGCGAGGGGCAGAATGGAACAGAGCCTACAGTCGCTCTGTGTAGGGCTGTCATCTACGGCTCGGTGTAAGGGGGGGGGCTGGGAGAGAACAGCCGGGGAAAAGAACGAGGAGGGTGGTGGCATTTGTGCTGTGGGGAGAGAGGCCATGACAGACATTGAAGCAGAGGGTCCTGAGGGTTACAGGTGAGGCTGGCCTCAGGAATTTGAGGATCAGGAAGGGTGAAAGAACTATACTGGTCTTTAAATATATACATTGTCTTGGGTCCCCCTGGAATTCCCCATGACACCTTTGGGTCTCTTGGGATGGGGTGCTGCTCTCTGAACCCTGCTAATCAACTCCTCCAGGACTGAGTGACTAGAGAACACTTAGACAATCCAAGCAGGCAACATCTACGCTGAGGTGAACAATGTCCTTCAATTAAGCTGCATAAAACAGAACACTGCTGTCCATTTCCCCCTTCTCCTGCAACTCCCAGACATCTTCCTCTCCAGCAACGGATTGTGTAGTCATCTGACAGCCCAAGAGGGGTGATTGCTACTAAAGAAGAAGGGATAATGCAAAATCCAAACAGATTTGTATGAATTATTAGTGCAAGGTGCAGAAGGAGACATGACTTTAGAGGGATAATATCAAACAGATAGTACAATCACGTAAATGTCCCAGCAATGCTGTTTGGAACAGCATAAACCACGCTTGCCATTTGCAAGGTGTTCTTGTATTTCACTGAGGTGGCAATTAGAGGGTTTCACATAGCTGCTGGATTTTGCAGTGGAATGGGGAAAGAGACTCTCTACCAGGATAAGATTTCTTCAGAACAAAGCCAGGCTCAGGGCTGTGAAAATTAATGCTAGCATATCATTTAGAAATGGAAACTGTACACAACCTTTGAAAAGAGCCATATGCTGAGAACTGTATTGATTGTTTGAAGGGAGGGGAATGAGATATGTAATAGAGTGCAAGTTCCTACATTCCTTGTCCCAGGTGAAAAATGCTGGCTTATGGATTCTGAGTTGTTGTTGATGCAGAAGGGAGTACATTTATCTTAAGCAGAAGTATAAAGGAAAATGAGTGAAATATGATTAGGTTTGCACTGAAGAATTCAGATTAAATTTCGATAGTGGCATGCTCTGCTATTCTGAGTGAGCAGGAATTATTACGGCTGTCTGCAGAATCTGCTGTGTTCAAGACTGGGAGAATTTGTGGTTTCTCCCCTGAAAATCCCCAACAAAGGAAGGGGGGTGGTTATGAGACCTGGGCTGCAGGAAGGTGTATGGTTGGGTCTTACCAGCCACTTCTTGCTCTGCCAGTGGCAGACTCAGCCAGTCCTCTTCATGGTTTCCCTGTGCTGGGCTGCTGCCCATTGATGTAACCAAGGGCCCTCTTCATTTTCCTGCCGTCCTTTGAGACATTTGCAGCCTGGTTGTCAGACTCACCATAGATGGGGAACTGGCCGCTCAGTTGGGGTCAGGCGGCCAAAGCGAAACCTTTCGGACCCGATGGATGAGGCAGCTGCAGAGCACGAAGCACAAACTTCTCCTTCTGCAGCCTCTGGCAGGGACACAGAGCAGGAGGAACACAGCCTTGGCTTCCTGCTTGGACCTTTCTCCGCCAGCCTCAGAACCTGTCATCTGAGCAGTCGGGAGAGGGTTGGGGGGAGCCCCCTATAGCTACAGACAGATGAGGACCCACTCTGAGAATCTGCGGACCTACCCTTTGTAGTGCTAAAAAAGCTCTACAAAAACGTTCCTGAAATAGGTATTTCAGTGAGGTTACATGATCTCAGGGGTTTCACAGTGCAGCCTCCTCTGTTTTCATTTGGAAAAGCTGCAGGACATGCAAGCTGGTATCTTCCATGAGCTTTCTAGCTTAGCGCTGTAAGGTCAGCCATCTCCAACGAGACACAATCCTGAACTCTGCTGTCTAGTGCCTGACATGGTTATTCTGCAAGCATTGAGAGTGACACTCACTCTCATGGGATACGTTTTCTTATGTCTCTGTTCTCTTGTCTCTGTTTCTCTCTCCCTGCTATGTTTCTCTCGGCCCTTTTCACCCGAGTTCCCACCATGCGACGCTCATCGCCAATGCCATGCTTTGATACTTTCACTGAGCCCCGATTCAGTATTCTTCCTCTCTGCATCTCCCAATCTCCTTGCTCCCAGCTCCACCCAACTCAAAACCCCTGCACATCAGATACCATGGGTATGTCTATACTGCAATGTAAACTCTGGGTTAGTAGAACTCAAGTGAGCAGATCCTGGGTTTGTTGACCTATGGCTAGAGCGTCTACACTCATTTGTAACCCCAGGTTAGGAATTGTTGCACCGAATCCCTGCCTGGGGCTCCAGTGTCTACACTGCTTTATGAGGGCCCCAGTCCAACCACCAATATATCAAACTTCCTCACACCATCCCAAAATGTAGCTGCTCTCGCTCT